CAGTTTCTTAAACATGATGAATTAAGTAACTCTTCTGGTGTGGACAGTAGCTCTGTGAGTCTAACAGACTGAAGACGTCAGCGCCGTCCCCAGGGAGCTGTAGAACCCACATGGTGTTGTCATGGTATGGAGGCAACGAGTGACACATGAACAAAACCAGCCCCCTTTTCTCTGTGCCTGTCTCATCTGTTCCCTATCATTTCTCCACCGGCCCATCTTTACTGACAACAACCAACCCCCCCCCCCCAAGCTCACAGTGACATACATCATAGTAACTAACCAGAGCCTTCAGGGCCTTTTCTCTTGTCTTGCATTTAGCTCAGACATCTACCTTTCCACGTCAGCTACACTACTGAAGTATGATGCATGAAAGTATCTCTCTGTTTACAGATTTATTCTAAGTCTGCTTCTCCTTAAGTTTTTAAAGCTACTCTTCTCTCATCCTCCACAGCGCCAATTCCCTTTGCAGTTCTGAGAAGCTGAGCATATTGGCATGTTACAGATGAGCGAGTCTCCTTGCATTTCACGATGTACGTAACAGCATGGACTAATGGATTCACTCGCTGTATTTGGATGGGATGCTTGTCTTGCACCTTGCACCCCTTTTCCTGACTAATGGGGCCCCCAGGGCAGAGCAGAAGCATGTGTATGTCTGTGTACATAGGATAAATAGAAAGAGAAAAATATAAGTTTTAGGGAGTAATCTTTTAAAAGGAACAACACTGCCTTAGCTAACTATTACAGTGTCAAGCAAAAGTATTTATACCCCAATATTTCACATTGCAACTTCAAACTTTGGCCATAGGATGTCCTGCAAGAAGGGGAAACTTTGAAAATGTGATACTCTCATAACCTGAACTTTCTAGCCTGCTCAGTTGTTTTTTGTTTTTTTAGCAGTAAATCAAGGCAAAATATTGGTGTGTATTTGTAGCTAAATATTCTTTTTCTTTTCCAGAGATAAATGGCAAAGAACATTGATATGGGAACATTTCTTTTCATAAAATACATTAATAAGTTACGATGAAAATCCAAACTGTTTAAGTTCATGACTTTGAAGTTTGTGTTGTGTGTACTTCAATAGCAACATTGTTTTATCTGACTGAGACAAATTAATAATATAATCTTTGTTTATGTTTTGCCTACTGATATATGTCGAGTCAAAAATCAAGAATAGTAATGACAGTATTGTACTAAAGTAATCCCTTCTACATTCCTTCTTTCTGGCCACGCATGCAGGTTCCAAATACTCCAAAAAGGAGCACTTATTGCAAACAGATATGGTTTTTCACTGTCATGGTGTGTAACAGCGTTTTTACAGCAGCCTTTGACTTGGAACCTTGTTTACTGCCACCAGGGTGAGCTCAGTTTAGGGCTGGGGCTGTTAGCTCATCCAAGGAAAGCTGTTCTCTGCTAGGTGTACCATAAAAACCAGCTGGTGGAGAGCAGCAAGAATGGTTCTTAATCTTTTACGCTCTTTGGTGGTGACAGGCAACCTCTTGTGAGTTACAAGTAGGGTTTTTATTATTATTTTTGCTGTAGTTAAATGTCTTATCAAAGCCTTAATTAGCGCTTCAATAATGTAAAATTCTTTACTGTACAAGTATGTGTTTTTTCAGGTCATGATGTGAGCTTGGGGAAAAATCTGTGCAGCCTCGTTTAAAAGGAAGTCAGCTGCTGCCTCGCTTGGTAGCAAACACAGTGACAGCTCAACACAGGGAGACACCACTCCCCATGACTGAAGGTACAAACAGGCACGTTCTGCAACACAAAACCCATTCAAGGCAGAGCTTGGAAATAACCTCTCTGCATTTTTATTTGGGGGTTTTGAACTCAATCCTCTAATGCCGCCCAGGGCACTTACTCATGTTGCCCATAATCAGAACCCACCACTGGTTATTGCCCGTTAAAAGTAAATTACACTGATTGCACTCATAGGAGTTTGAGAAATGTGAAGGAAAGGAACCACAATTAAATTAAGACTGAGCTACACTTAATCCAATAATGTAGTTGCTCTGATCCTTTCAGATGGTTATCCTGGAGACATTCACAATACAGCCCAGTAAACCTGCTCTGGTCAGGTTGAAAGGGCACACACTGGTATTGTTGTTTCTTCACTGAGCAGTGGGAATGGAGGGAATGATGAGAATCAACATGTAAGCATGACATTAACAATTGGTATTGTCCTATTTGTTATACTTTTTTAATTTGTTACCATGCACTTATCTATCTGTCCTAAGATTTCATAGTATCGGCTCCATCTTAGCGCCTGCTGCAAATGTGTAAAGATGATCATATTATTGAATATCTACATAAATAATTTATAGAATACCAATAAAATGAGTGCTTGAATTGACCTTACATTGTTTAATCAAACATAAACACTACTTCTAACTGAACAGCCTCAATATCAATTGAATAATTTTCTAAAGCTCCTCAGGCAAGACTTTAAAGTCCAGTGACTGTATAACTGTAACTGGATTTTTATCAACTCGTCCACGCCTGCTAACTACTGTTATGTGCTCAGACAAATTCTGCTGCCATTCACAAAACTAGAGAAGTGTAGCAGCAGCATGATTACTGGAGTGAGCTCTGCCTATGTTTTCCTTGGATAAGTGTGCTGGTGCTTTTTGTTTTTATATTCGAAATGTACAATCCTGATTAGATATTTTTCAAGAAGTGTTTCTTTTTACCCAGTAAATTTAGCATTTTCAAAGTTTAGTATTTTTAGTGGATAAAAAAGGACTTTATTTAATTTCTAGGACATACATTTTTGTCAAATATGTGAAAACTGATTTTGTGCCATTTGCCTTGTTTCATTGTGACAGGGATACTCATATAAAATGTATATTTATTGTTTTTATTTTCACTCCAGCTATAATATATTTCACAAAGATTCTCAGATTTGTGGACACACATGTTAATTAAGATCTTATAATTAGATGTTCCTAATTTGTATACAAACTCTTTTTTGGAAATAAAGTTTAGAGATGTGAAGATTTATTTTGGCGCATGCACAACTCTATTTTAGTCTTTTATAGTTTTCTGCCTGTTCTAAGTGATCCCCTGTTGCCTGTGAATGCAATGCTTAGCCAAGCATGAGAGAATTTCTTCTAGAGCAAATTAGTGATAGCGTCTAAAGGGAATGATATTGTTTTTCTTTCTCTTTTTTTATGAACCCCCAAAAGTTTGGACTTGGTTGACTAAGCATGAAGAGCTTTATTTCTTTGATTGTTAAAGAAATGTTTTGTTGGCCCAGTGCTGATGGGGTTTGCTATACGTTACAAGCAGATGAGATTGAGGAGTAGTTATAAAAAAAAAAACATTTCACCTCTGGAGATTTTTGAGTACAAGCTCCAAATGTACAGATGGCATACTCAGGCTGTAGTTTGTGATTAGTGATAGAGTCACTTGTTAATTTGTGTTAATTTGTTTAAGTTTTATTTCAGAGTTTTTTCTAAACGTTTTAATATTTTTAAAATTCACCACCATTTTCCATGTGTAAACCTTGTAAAATTATGTTTATACTAGATCATGTACTGTACAATGGCTTTCAAAAGTAATCACACACACCACTTGAATTTTTTCACACTTTGTCACACTACAGTTACAAAGCTCAGTGTATATTATTGGGATTTTTCATTATAAACCAACACAAAGTGTGCAGTTGTTAAGTGGATTGAAAATTCTCCATGGTTTTCAAAGAGTTGTCGAAGTAAAACCAGTGAAATTTGGTGTGCATTTTTGTTTAACCCAGAGAATCAATGTTTTGTGAATCCACATGTTCCTGTCGTTACAGCTTAAAGTCTGAGATGCTTTTCAGCTTTTCATACCAGAGATGTGGTGTCGAGGAGGTATCTGCGCATATCAGTTTTCATGTCTTTTGTCTGGTTTTATGTGGTTTTAATTATCAACAAAATCCCTCAAGCTCATTTAGATCAGACAGGAAGTGTGTAAACATTAGGCCATTCTAAAATATAGATATGCTTTGATGTAAACCACTTCATTCCAGCTTTGACTTTGAGTTTGGCTTCATTGTCCAGAAATAAGGCACAATTACTTCCATGTTTAAATTCTTTTTGCAGTAAATTTTCTTCCAGGATTACCCAGTATTTACCTCCATCTATTACCTTGTTAACTCTCACTAGCATGATGCTTCCACTGCTATGCATCACCAAATGGTTTGTTAAAGGTGATATACTTGAGTAGTTTTATACTTCACATTGTATTTTGCAAGTTGTCCAGAAAATTGAATGTTGGTCTAATCTGACAGCCTAAATGTTTTTTGTTTCCCTATCTCATATTGCTTGCTTTCAAAAATCTTTCTTCTTGTCGGTTTTCCTTAAAGGACAGATCTGTTGAGTCCATAAACAGTTGTGATTTCAACAGATTCTCCCCCCCTGAGTTGTTGATCTCTGCAGTTCCTTCAAAGAGGCAGCATGCTTTTTAGCTGTTTGATTGGCTGATATTGACCAGGCATTCAGCTTAAGGAGGCGGCCATGTTGCTGTAGCTCATCCATTGAACAGAAACAGATGAGACTTTTAAAACTTGCTGTTTGTTTCCTACTGTTTTCTTACAAACCTCTGAGGCCTTCACAGAACTATTTAATTCATGTGGAGAATAAATGTCACTCAGATGATTTGACTCCTGAAGTCAGGTGTTTGCACAGGATTGTATCAGAATGAAAATACATCTAACCAAGCATTTTACCAGGTATAATTTTTAATCCACTTGCATATTTTATGCCTCTCTGTATCACATAAAGAGCCAATAGAGTAAGTTTGTGGTTTTTAATTAAAAATCACAATAACTATACCAAGGGAAAACTAAAGACTGTCATGATGGTCTATAGCTTTTATTGCTTTTATTAGGCCTTAGTACCAACTTGGTGCTTCTGAGAAACTTTTATAACAAAAATAATGCTGGTCTCATTGGCATTATCATAGTACAACAATTCTTTCTTTGTTTAATAAAAGATAACTAAAAACTGTTTTGGTTTCAATTTGTTTTTTAATGTCTTAGATTTTACAATTATAGTACATCAACATCAAAGAACAATGATAATTTTTCATTTGCAGTTTTCATGTACTTTCTTTTTTAACTTCAACTCCCAGCTTGTTGCATTAAATAAAACAGTTAAATTGTGTCTTCTGCCAATAGATACTAGTAGTGTCTCTTCTAAAATACTGTAAACTTTGATTTTATTTGTACATAAGCACAGTGTCAGTCCCAGTGTGTGGCACACAGTTGATGCACATAGTGAATTTAAAACTAATTATTTCATCAAATGATGTCTTATTGAAGAAACCCCAGAACAGAGAACAATGCTGGTACAATAGAGATGGTAAAAACAACAAAAAACATTACACTGAAGAAGACTGCATTAAGCAAAGTAAATAATTAGATATCAGTGAACAATTAGATCACATTAAGCAGATGGGTGCAATAACTCACAGCTGTAGTCAAGCTTCATTTAAAAGATTATGCTAACATGTAAACTAAAGCACATCATAATTCTTCTTTGGTTAGAATAGCTCTGGTTGTGCAAAATATTAATTTGTTTCTTAAATATGGTTCTCTTTCCCATCTACATATATCTATATATCTATATATATATATATATATCTATATATATTGGCCATTTGAACTTATTTATTCTACTGATATTTTTGACAACAGACATAAAGCTTCACCCATAAAAAATATATTTGAAAGTCTAATAATATTTCACAGTACAGCAGAATTTATTACACATCCATGTAATATTTTTTTATCACAGTTACTTTGTGAAAAAATAAAGTATTGCACCATAATACACTTCAATACACACCACAGGTAATTCGAGTGGCACAGTTTTCTCAGATTGACTTTTGCTTTTTTAAAACTTGCCTTTTGCAGAAGTCTGGGTTTGGGCCTCTGTAAAAGTTGGTTCTGGACTTTTCACCAGAACCTGTGGATTTGTCAGTTGACTCTTGGTTGAGTCTTGTGATGTTTTACCCTTTGTTTCCGTCTGCGTTTGCATCTCCATCGTCTGATTCTTTAATCGTTGCTCGGCTGGGTTGGGTCTACCGTTGCACCTATTGCAAAGGTCCATCATGTCCTGAAGTCCTTGCACCAAGCACTTTACAAATTTCACTGAACATGTCTGCGGGCTCTCATGGAAACTGGACACTGAGAAGATGATGTGGTCGGACTGAGGGTTGTAGCAAGCGCCGTATCCATCGGGCACCACTGGTCCGTAGCAGCAGAACATTTCTACACTTGTTGGGACCTGAGAGAAGAGTTACTGCTGAACTAAAAGCAATTAAACACTTTTATAATAAAGTACAATTTGGAAAAGATGTATAAGTGCTATGAATATGTAAAAACATTTTTAAATTAATCACAGATTTTCAACGCAGCCCAATCATTTTTACAATTTGATAAGTAAATGGTATGTATGTAAGTGATACTAATCCCCTTGTCATGCACACTGGAGGTGTGAAAATATGTTCAATTTATGCAAAAAGACAAGATCTAATCTTGGGTCCACTTGAAAGAAAAGGCGTTTTTATAACATATTGGATAAAGATGATTTTTTTTTAAAACCAGTAATTGTTTTTCAAATCTCCATATGCTTTGAATAATCTGCAAACGTAAAAAAATAATTCAGTTCAGGTTTGATCAGTCCATTTGCTGCTGTTTATGCTTGTCTCAATCCAAGGTGGTGTAAAGTGAAATGGAGTTGACCTCACTCCCACAGGGGACCTATAGCTGAAATAATAATGACGTAACCACAATTAAAGTTGATCAGCGTTTAATGAAGGTTGTTGCTGACTTGTCGTGACGTGAAGTCTAGGAACAAGAGGAACTGAAAGGAGAACAAGGATGATCAATCAGAGCACAAGTGTCATGAGCCCAGAGAAAAGAGGAAGCAAGGAAAGTGGTGTGCTGATTGAGAAACAGATGATCGGTCCAAAAGAGGACCTGAAACTGATGAGAAGATGGAAAGAGCAAACGACGCAATGGGAAAGTGACCTTTTAAGCATTCTCGGGTGAAAAACCCTTAAAATCTACTGCAGAGAAGTGAGACTTGGGCTTTCCTTCTGAGCAGTCAGCTTGCTTTCATCTGAAAGCCAAAAGTGCTTAAAACAAGGTGAAGAGGATCCAGGAGCTGCAGGAAAAGCAGAGGGCTGCTGCAGGTATGAGGAAATCACCCCAAGGATCCCTCAAAACTGCAGCTCTAAATTGGAACTCCAGCATCCAGGATCTGGGGCACCCCAGTGTTCACGCAGAGCTAAAGGCTCATCAGACCTGCTGGGACCCTTTCTTCATCATCAGGCCGGTACTGGGGTTCAAATTTCATCCTCCGTCTCTCAAAGTCTCCTTTTAGTGTGCTCAGTTTCAGTGATTAGAGGAAGGTTAAAGTTGATTTTACCATATTTCTTTGATGATTACTGCTGCTAAATTAAGATGTTACTGACCCCTGCAAAACATTACTAATAAAAGAAGCATACAAAATGATTCAGAAGTTGTGGACATTCAATTAATGTGTCACTGTAATGTTCATTGATTGTAGTAAAATAGTTACGGTGCATGATCCTATAAAAAATAAGAAAGGTGTTCATAGGTTGCTTTTAGCCCAAATATTGTAAAATAAAACAACATCCTTGGGAGCTGACAAAATCACTAAACTAAACCTGGATCTGTTCACGGAGCCTGTTGTGAAATGAGAAGAGCAATCGTTTAGGGAATGTGTTCTCACTTTGGTTGCTGGTTATTCAACAAGTGGAAGGAAACGAGTTGAGGCATTCAGATGTAGGCTGTTAGAATCCAGGCAAATCTCTAATAAACCAGCTAGATAAATTCTCTATTAGTTCTGCGGTGGGTTATACCCTACAGATCAGAGATCTAAGAACCAGAGGGGTGCATAGCTCATTCAGGTTTTAACCCTCCCCAAAGGAGAAGTATGTTGAGGGAGTCGGATGTACTTGTGCAACAACAGTGGTCAGAATCTCAAAAAGTGCTAAAATGTCCTTTTGGTATTTTAAATCAAATATTAAATACAACTCAAACTGTGTTTTAAAGACTCTCTGCCCAGTGTAGGATTATCCGGCTGAGGTTTTAAAGTCTAATGGCGTCTACACAAAACATTTCGGGGCGGGATTAAAACGCCTTTTTGCCCTCTGAATGTATTTTGTGAAGGGATTGATGAGGTGAGTGTGGTCCAAGTCAGCCTGGCTCTGTTATGACCTCACATGGTGAGATAGCCACAGCCCCAGATTGGCTGACTTTTATAGAGGTGAGTCAGCTTTTCAGGTCAGGGGAGGGAAGTAGTGATGACGTACGGTGTGTGTGTTCTGCCAGCAGCAGGATTTACAGCTGGAGCTGAAACACTGTCCTCAAGCTACAGGAGTTCATTTTAGGGAATTTTTGATCATTCTTCTTGAAGCACATGTGTGAGATCAGACACTGATTTTGCTTTTGGTCTGGTTCACAATTTCTACTCTTATTCATGGTTAACCTCTGAAAATAAATAAATAAATAAAATAATAATAATAAAATATATAAATAAGAAAACATCTCCACTGCTCTAGAATGTTTTGCCTGAGGGCTGGATGTAGCTGCTCATACATGGTCAGCTACATGGTTATACTGAATGGTCTTAGGCAATAGTCATGTTCCCAATCACTTCAGTTTCATTAAAATACCACTAAGAGTAGTAGACTTTAAGATATTTGGTGAAAAGAGCATTTCTTGGCTGGACTTATCACACAGTGGACATCCTATTGTGGCAGCATACTGAAATTCACTGGGCTTCTGAGAGCGGCTTGATTTTAAAAATGCTAATTTAATTCAGAAAGGGATTCCTAACATTAGTTGTTTAGTTCTACTTTTGTTTGTTTGAGCTTGAGAATATTTTTATATATATATTTCCCTCTTTTCTTTCACAACATTCACTACTTGGCAGATTTCTTATAATATATGTATACTTCTGAAAGTGTATTACATTGTAAAATTGTTTTGAAATCACCTGACTTGTGGAGAGAATAAAGTGATTACTGATGAGGTAAGCGTCATCTTTGAAGATCTCAGGTTTCTCCATTTTCATTTCGCGAGCCGCCTCACGCAGACCCAGCAGGTGATTGTCTATTGCCATCCCAGTAGTTGCCTAGAAGAATGCACACAAAAAAGGTTATGTCATTGCAATTATTCAATAATTCAATGTTGGAGCAGAAATGATATGACAGGAAAAGGTTACCATAACAGTATACTTTGTCTGTGCATTTATGGCACATCGCAACAACTCCATCTTCTCTATTTCCTGCCAGTGCAGAGGGAAGCAATTAATATTTTGCAATTTTATTTACAGTAAATTTTATAATGTTCTAAAAATAATAGTGCAAAAACGAGCAAAACTGCAGTTTACCAGAAATATTAATGAAACCATCTATTGTTATACACCAAACAAAATGAAACAAACTTTTTTTCTCACTAACGTCAAATAAGATTAAACTTTGCAGTTTTTGATCAGTTAGGATTTTCACCATTTTTATGGTTTTGCCAAATACAAGAACAATGAGTGAGATACATTTCTGAATAAATGTTTTTTTTTTCTTGTTTTCTAGTCCAGAATTTTATATTTATTTTTCTGTTATTTTTTAAATATATGGTTTTGAAAAATGTGTTTATATCCTTCTACAAACTTCTTGGATGAGTTTGCTGTAATTTGCAGGAGTAATTTTGGTGAATTACTCCTGATGTTACTGAGTCAAGTTTGTAGGTTGCCTTGCTCACACACACCTTTACTGTGGTGCTTTATGGTGGCCAGTCCAAAACAGTGACTTTGTTGTCCTTCAGCTGAAGTTATTGATCTAGCCACTTGATTTTTGTCCATTTGGAAAAGCTTGCTGTATCCAAGGCTTTCCTTCCTGGCTGATGTCTTGAGGTCTTTCTGGATTTTTTTGTGTTGCTTTTGAATAATGCCTTCTTCTTCTCTGAGTGGGTTTTCAGGTCCAAATCACAACAGGTCTTTTTCCACGGTGGGAAAAAGCACTTTGCCAAATATCAGCGTCAGCCTCATGAGGTCTTTTGCTATTGGTCAGGATTAAAGGTCACATTTTGCACAAATTCTGGCTGGATATTCTCTCATGGTTGATACTTTAATATAACCTAACAAATGAATGTAGCACTTTCTTGGTCCACAATTCTCTTTGTGACATCATGCCGGGTTTCTTTCAATCTTTCTTTACTGTCACTTGAGGAAGTGGTGTGTTTGAGGTGGGGCTATAAAATACATCCACAGATGCCTCCATCAGACTCAAGTCTTGTGTTAATCTTAGTGTATGGAAACATTCAATGTTTCAGTAAAAAAAAAAAAAAGCTTAAAAACCTTCCCCCTTGTTTATTATACCAAGTAAAATGTACTTTTCACTTTACCAAACACAGAAAATAATTGTCTAATTTATTGTCAGGCTGTGAGAAAAATTATGTTTATTCTTAATCATCTAGTTTCAACTCTTCGAAGCATCTTACTCTTGAGATGAACTTCCTATCAGTCATTGCTCTAACAAAGGCCAAAGCTTCAGGTGTGGCCGAGCGAATGTTGTCAACTCTGCCCTGCTGAAAGCGTCGCGTGGAAGCGCTCTCATATGTCGACACCGCTCTGCCGTGACACCTGTAGCAAAAACCAGAGGAAGGAAATCCTAATTTATGAGTTAAAACAACATAAGGAATAACAACCTTTCATCTTTGTCTTACCGATAGTATGCCAACTGCAGAGCAACCTGGATGTAGGCATCTGGACTCATTTTCTGCTTCTTGATAAACTCTTTCCCATAGTCAGGGAATTTGTGGATGTTCATGTCCAGATTCTTCACCAGTCTGATTAAAAGGGGAACAAACTTTGCAGCGCATCGGAAACAAATGTCCAGGAAAAACATTTTTAATTTCATTGTTCCAGAGTGAATATGAACCTGTGGAGCTTGTCAGCAGAGGAGGTGAGAAGTTTTTGTATCTCTGGAGAACATTTCCAGCGCAGTCTGCGTGGCGCAGGCAGCTCGCTTACACTCGCAGCCCTGACCAGCTTTGATGGGCTGCCAATCCTGATGTCACATGCGGAAAGAAATAAAATAGCATTGCTTTAATAAGAATTTGGTATCTGTTTTGCGTCATGAAAAATGATTTCTTACATGTCTTTAAGGAGATACTCTGAGCACTGCACAAGAACAATTCCTTCAAATGGAGAGTGTTCACACACGACTCCACAGCAGCCATCGGCTCCAACAATAAACTGAAAAAGAAGCATGTTAGTGGGATTCATCATATGCTTAAGATTATTTGACACTTCAGTTCAGTGCAGGTATGTTGTTTAATTCTTTAAACAAGTAGAGGCAATAATTTAACAGGAAGCCCTGAATCAGATTTACTTCTCCTTCCAATGTGATTTATCAATGTCTGAACATGTTATATGAGCATTTATGTCAAAATCAAAACTGACGATCTGCTACAAATTGAATATATAATTTCAAATGTGAACTTAAGTTCTCCGATTTCATTCCTTCAAGCATTACTTTTACACTGATTTTCTAAATAAATTGAATGCCGTTGCTGAAGTGCAAAAGGATCTTTAATCGTTTAGTTTTCCTTTTCATTAAAAAAGCAGGTTAACCCAGTAATTCATTTTTAAATAACACATGGCTTTCTAAGCAACATCTTGGAGAAATGGTCATACTCCTTGAACTTTGCCACACTGAATTTACACAGAGAAGTTTTTTGTTCTTTTTTTAATTGGTGAGTGCTTGTTTGATAGATCAACACAAAGTAGCACAACCCTTCAAAACAGAAACTTCAAAAAAAAAAAAAAAAAAAACAGATACATAGTTTCATTTTTTAAATTATTTTATTTGGTTAACTTTGAGCTTTTACTTGAACTTTAACTGGGCCATTCTAACACATAACCATGCTTTGATCCAAATTCATTCCAACATAGCTCTGGCTGAATGTTTATGTGAACCTTGCCCTAGTTTCAAAGCTTTCAGTCTCTAACAGGTTTTCATTCAGGATTGATTTTAAATTTCTTCATCTACCTTCACTGTAACACTGGCTATTACTGGTTTGCATTGGGCTGTTATGTTAACTCATAATATTGAATACTAAAGGGATTCTGCTCACTCACCTGCATCGACTTGTCGTACCAGCGGTTGCCTCCGTTCTTGCTCGGCCCACCTCCATGAAGCATCATTGCGGCGCGTGTCGTATCACTTTGCTCAGTTCCACTTGCATCATCCAAACAAACCAGGCACAAACATCGCTCTATTATGTCCAGAGAGTCTCGGTTGGTTGATTCTGTTGGAAGAAAAATGTGATAGCTATATTTTGATTTTCTAAAGTTTTGTTTTTCAATAAAAATTCCTTCCACTCTCAAATCTAGCACTAATCAAACTGCAAAGTTCATTCTTTTCTCAATCTTTGAGTTCTAACTGGATGCTATTGACAGAAATTAGATCTATTTCTTATAGAAACATCTGAATCTAAAAATCGTAAAATTCGCACTCACTTAAATGTTAAATAATTACTCTTAGCAGTCACTAGTCAAATCAAGAATTGATCTAGTAGTAATCACACTAATATTTTTTTGCGATAAATCCAGTAAAAAAAAAGAAATACTTAAAATATTTGGTTCTTTACAAACACAAATACATTGGATATATAATGAAAATGAAGCCTTCCCAACCAAATCTTAAACAAGGTGATTAAGCTAAATAAATCCAGTCGGTCTTCTTCTTGCTTCTGTGTGTGTCTGTACTATGGCCCAGAATCATGCAGCTCATAGAAGTTGCCTTTTGTTAAATCATCAAAGACTAATCGATTCAATAGAGAGAGTCTGGGCAATGTGTGTTTGCAAATGATCACAATCCCACCAGAATGTTATTGCTTTAAAAAAAAATTTCTATCTTTTAAAGGAGTGATAACTCCAAAAGAAAACTTGATAGGATATTTGTCAAATTGGAAGCAGTTGTCACTCAAGTTTACCATTATATCTTATTCTAAGGAGAAAATCCCTCAAATGTATTTATTCAATGTTCATAATCCCAAGTAAAAAATGATTGCTTAACCCCTTAACATGCCCTCGAAAGCCGTTCCTTTTTTCCATTGTATTTTCCAGGGGTGAGGGTGAAGGGGTTAAAAACATGCTGAATTGTCAAGTAGAAAAAGACATACTTGTTGTGAACAAATGTGTCTCTACATGTACATGTACATGTGCGAGAATGGCCAGATTTACAGTCATTGCTGGAAACATTTTCATAAGAAAGTTCAGATTCTGTAAAAAATGCACCTCTCATTAGTACACTGCGAGCCTCCGCCCACTCTGTCCGTCCATCCGATGTGAGAAGACCTGTAGGTGGAACAGGCTCATCCTCACTGCCAGCCATCTTGCTTATCTTTTCCAACTGAGTCAGCAGATCACTTTCATTCAGCCTCCGAAAATTAATTACCACATCCAGAACGAAGAACTGCAAAGGGACAGATCAGATACAGGTAGATTTTTAATGCACTGGTTCATCTTCAGTCTCCTTCATGTCAAATGTAGAGCTAGTGGTTTTCTGTATCATGATCACAACACAACATTTAAAGTTCACAAAATCCAAGAAGTAATTTTATTGACCTTATTTGGTGACATTATTCTTTCAAAATGTTTGGGTTGAATATACTTATATCAAAAGCTCCAGCTGTTTGTCTGTTCTTGTTTCTCTCAGAAAGTATTTTCTTCATCTGAAAGATCCTCTGAGCTTAAAGGGTAGACTCAGTCAATCCACAGATAAAAATAATATATTTTACTCCCAAAGCCAATCTTTAAATATTATCATCAAGAACAAAGAAACCTTGGTGGTCCTTAGATATGGTCCGTTAAGTAGCAAATTCATCTTTTGGGCTTCTGACATTATTGAACACGAACATTCAAGCTGAAATAACCCAAGATCATCACACCAGATACAATAATAAAATTAATTGATCTTTTTTTACTCTAAATAATTTTATCAAGTGTCTGTCCCGCTTCTTCACTCAGACCACCAAGATACTTTCTTCGGATTGGGTTTAATACAACTGCTGTTTAATAAATTTAGTTATGCGTTTCTTTGTGTCTCACCTGGTTCTTACAAGCCACAATAATGTGTTCAGGCTCTGGCATCACGCTGCTCTCCAGGGTCACCAGTGTGTCCCTTTCAGGCCCCGGTCGGCGATATGATGTAAAGAGGCGGTAGTACTGCTCCATGCATAGAGGTTTACCAGACAACTGGCCCTGGCCATAATCCACAGGCAGGGCACGGCTGCACATGGGAATGCATGCCTATGACTGTCATTAAGTATTTTTTCTGAACAGGATAGTTTCATGGTGACTTACGCATCAAGAAGCGTCTTGTACTCCAAAACTCCTGATATCAAGTGTGCAGCAAACCTAGAAACAGAAACCATGCCTTGTTTTAAAGCCCAGACCAAACACATTAAGTCCTATCCTTAAAACTGTTTGATTTGTTTCAAACCTCAAAGAGTCAATGGGAGCTTTGAAGTTCTGTTGGGGAAAAACCATCGCAGGACTTGAGTTGACGGGCAGAGCCAGTCTGTTGTTCAGGTACATGTCATTCAGCCAGTAGTCATAAACCTGGAAGGTTTTGCATGAAATAAACAACAATCAAAAGAAGAAAATACAAAAAAGACATCTTAATGTGAACAGACATACAGTTGCCTCTCAAAGCACAAAACTGATTTAGTTCAGAAATTAAAGAAGTGAAACAAGATACATCAAATCAAAACACACAGTGAGATATTTCAATATTTCTTGTTTCTGACAATATTTCTACTGACAAATGTCAGGTAAGAAAAATTATAATGAAATTTATTTTGTTACATAAGAGGACCAGAGTTTAATTTTTAATACAGAAATGTGAATTATAGCTGTACAACCATGAGGAATTGCTGTGACTGTTGTCCAGAAGGCTGTGGACAAGGACAATTAAAGTTGAGTGGAAGGAAAAATGTTTGGGATTAAAGGTAATTTCAAGAGGCAGCTAGAGAAATAATACAGCTAGAAATGCTGGGGAATTCAAAGGCAACCTCTTCTCATGGTCTTATGGCAACCATAAGACCTTCAGTGGAGCCACAGGTTGATCTCCTCTACATTGTGTTGCAATTCAAACAAAATGAGCTCAGTTCTGAGTCAAGTCGCTCTGCTTTTCAGAAGACTGACAAATTTGTAATGAAAATGATTTCCCATTGGTCTAATATCAAATAACCTTATTCAAAATAAACCTTAAATGTTGAATTTCAGCAGAAGTGTAACAATTGAAATGCATCACTCTGCTCTGAATATGTATAAAACACGATCCCTTTTTAAATGGAATTATTGAAATAATCAAACACATTCCAGATCATAGAACTGTGCCTTCAGTTATCATAAACATTTGGTTAAAACTTCTTCTGAGTGTGCTATAAGTTATTTAAGTGGTGTTGTGTCGATAAATGAATCTTTCAGTAATGTCTTCTTAGATTTCTAAATCTTAAATAAATACATTATTTTCAGTCCTTTATAAAAAGTTTGATTTACCCAGTTTGCCATTTTCTCCCTCCTCTCCACAAGTTTGCTCTGCAACAGCTCTCCCACTCCCCCAGGAGCTCCAAATTGCTTCACGATGTTCTGGGTCTTGTTGAATTGTTCTTCAGTGAGCAGATGCTTCATGCATCTCAGGTATGTGTCCAGAGTCTCACTGAGGCTGGGCAACGGTAGCTTTGGCAGAGCCTGGGCAATGCAATTTAGTTAGTGAGCTCTAGCAACACATTACCCACAAAAACCTGAAACTAAATAGCTTAATCAATCACTCATTTCAAGAAAATTCCTAGTTTCTTCTACTTGACAACACAATTCACTTTTTTTTTTATTTTCCTTATTTCACGTCAATAACTATGACATTTCTCAGACATTAGTCAACATTTTATTTTGCAAAATTGTTGTTTCATTCACATTTAAATGCAACTGAAAACCATATTTACATCTCCGCTTGCAGAATTTTTGAAAGTGTCTTGGTTCCGGATTGGCATCTTGGTGACACGAGAGGCTGTCAAGAAGGTAGAGACATGAGAATTGACATTTTCAATTTATATCTACATTTTGAAGGAGTAATATATAATGATGCTTTTATAAAAGCATAGTATTGCAGGGAGAAAACCTTTATTGTATCCATTGTTTTAATATAAATCATCTTATTTGCAATTCTCTTCTTTCATTTTGCTTTTTAAAACACTTTGTTTTTTATTATGGTGCTTCTGTGTGAATAAGCAACCAAAATATTCAGCAGACTGCATTCAGATGTCAGTCTTTAGTCTAGAAGGAAGAAGTAACACAGATATTTTACACCTTTTGTGTGTAAAACCGAGAAGGGTCATCAAGAGGTTGAAGGTCTTTGAGATTTACCTAAGTCTTAGTTTTATGAAAGTAGTGCAACATATAAGCAATTTGTCACACCATGTGAAGACATATAATCTGATAATGTAATATATTTATAAAAGAGTGAAAAATTCCTTTTAAAACATGGGCCTTTTCATGGAATTGTCAAAAAATATCACCTGAATAAGGTGAATTGATGAAATAAAAAAACGAATTAAAACAAATTAAATCAGCAAAATCTTAGAAATATTCTTCATTTTCTTTCAACTAAAATACATGTGGAACCAGAACAATCAATGAAAAGAGATACAATATTTTACTCACCTCACATGCACTATGAAAATTTTACTCCTCCTGAGGCTCAGACAGGGAATTTATGATGCTGCATCATAACTTGAAGTCTTTTGTAGAATAGAAGAAAAAAAAAATCCTCCAAATGTCTCAATTTCTGTCCTTTGTCATTTTGAGCATCTTTTCTCCTCCCTTTCATGGCATCAGTACAACTCCGTTGCTGGCTCAAGAGAGATGCTGAGAGGATCCCTCAGCCTCCAGGCAGCCTGGCTCCTCCCAGAAGTCCTGCTATTCGCGGAGAACTTTGTTTGGTAACTCTGATTGTCACTCCACCTTATTTAGGCGACAGTCAGCAACTGAAATCTCAACACCTTTTCATCAGACACGTGCCAGTTTATGTCTTGTTGTCACTATCTGCATGAAACTGTTTCAAAGAAAAGACTTGCATTTTCAACATCAGAAATTGAAATTAGAACCACTTTTAAACATTATCAAAAACTTCAATTAGTAAATTTTTATAAAAGGAATGTTTATTTTACTGTATAATTATAATATATAATCATGTAATTCTATATATATAAATTCCCTCCTCTATAGATAGATAGATAGATAGATAGATAGATAGATAGATAGATAGATAGATAGATAGATAGATAGATAGATAGATAGATAGATAGATAGATAGATAGATAGATAGATAGATAGATAGATAGATAGATAGATAGATAGATAGATAGATAGATAGATAGATAGATAGATAGATAGATAGATAGATAGATAGATAGATAGATAGATAGATAGATAGATAGATAGATAGATAGATAGATAGATAGATAGATAGATAGATAGATAGATAGATAGATAGATAGATAGATAGATAGATAGATAGATAGATAGATAGATAGATAGATAGATAGATAGATAGATAGATATTACAGTCCTTACATGCCTCCATGTTTTACATTTTTTCTATATTTTTAGAAAAAAACATTTGCTGCCTTTTGACTGAAAATAATTGATAATATATCAATTTATCGAGATTATTAAACGAATAAACGACGTAAAACATCGGTATCGTTCACATATTGTTCTTTTAATTATGTACATGAATATACATGTATGTACAGTCACAGATCATTTCAGGCTTTGCATTCCAGAAGCACAAAATTTGTTTAAAATAAGAGTTTAAATTCTCCACAAGAGGCAGATTCCAGGTAATTCCCGGACTTCTGCCCTTCAACACGCTAGTTTGCATATTTCATTCATAAGCAACATGATTACAGATGGTGCTAGAAGACGCATACATTATATTTCCTTAAAACACATTTGCACAATATTCCCTGAAGAGTCAGATTCTGTTATAGTGATCAGATGATGAACAGACATTAATCCCACCATTTTTTATTTTTTATTTTTTTTCATTTTTATTAAATTCCCACTTTAAAACAAAGTTGAGACCACTTAATTTGACAAACCCCACAGGTATTGTCGCACGTTGATATATTTTCACAATCTTAATCAAAACATTGGCACTTTTTAAATTTCACATACAGCTTAAAGATCTTTATTTTTTATCTAATCTTTTATGCGTATTCTCCTCCTGACGATTCCTCCTCCGAGTGCGAGCGCTGGACAAAAGTCTCGATGCCGCTATCGTCAATAGTTGTGCACAGACCTTTTCTCTTCTTCTCCCGTTGTTCCATCTTAATCGTGTCGTACAGACCCGTGGGGCCGTCCTCCAGCAGCATGTTGCGCTCTGAGAAAGAAGGCTTCATCTGCGTCACGTTCTTCAGCAGAAGGAGCGCCGGCGCGTAAAGGACGTTGGCGAGCCCCATGCCCAAGTTTAGCTGAACGAAGCCTAGGTTGTGTACGATCTGACCGGCTACGACGGGCCCCAGGGCGTAGGCAACGCAGTAGGAGATGTCCGCTATGGCGTACACGCTGCCGTACACTGAGACGTGGCGCACATCTACGAGAAAGCCCAGCGTGGGCAGGAGCGCGGTGTCCACGAAGGCAATGCCGAAGCAAATGCCGCACAGCGGGATCATGAGCTGCCCGAAGTTCTTACAGGCCGGTATCGTGCAGGAGCTGGCCCCTATGAACACCATGCCTATGGCCCCGTAGAACCACTGCAGGTGAGGGTACTTCGCTGCAAGTTTCACAGTGAGATACACCCCCAACACATGCGGGAAGAACGCAGGGAACCATGTCATGCCGATCTCCCACTCGCTGGCATTCATGTTGTCCTCCATCCAATTTGCGATGGTTGGCTCCAGGAAGGCGAGAGGTATGTTGCAGACGATTAGAGCTCCCGCCACCACAGCAATGTAGGGGTCAATCATCAGCTTATAGATCGGGGTGCCCACGGGCATGTTTTCCCTCTCCCTGTTGGAAAAGGGCTTGAGCACAGTCAGACACAGGACTCCATCAGTGAGGCAGATGCAGGCCAGGATCAGAAAAGGCGCTTGTTTCCCGGCAAATTCATACAGGACCCCTCCGAAGGGCGGTGCGACCAAACTTCCGAAAGAGATGAAAGCCAAGGCTATGCCCAGAGCTTTGCTTCGCTCAGTCTCCTCCGTGAACTTGTCCGCGATGAGAGCGATCCCAGAGGTGTCCGCGAATGCCGAGCCGAGGCCCTGGATGCTGCGCGCCAGGAACAGGGTCGCGTAGTTCTCGGCGAAGGCGAAAGTGAGGGTGGAGAGGAACATTATGTTGAGCCCAATGAACAGCGGAATGTCATAGCCCACCCTGTCTATGAAGGTGCCGCTCAGCGGGTTCACCAGCAGCTGCAGGATGGCCTTGGAGGCGAACAGGACGCCTATCTGCAGGTCGAAGTTCCCCTCGGCCGCTTTGTGGATGGTGCTATTGGTGGAGTTGGAGTGCGGCGCAGCAGCTGGGTGTTCCTGATCCGCTGCTTTCTGCAACCCCTCCAGATAATCGGGTATAATTGGCACAATTACCATGTAAAGCATGTTGTCTAATAAAAGTGCAACACACACTATTACGAGAATTATGCGTTTCTGTCGTTCTGGGTCTTGAATAACGTTGCCCAGCTGTTTAGTTCTTTCGCCCATCTGGGACAGTTTTGAGGCGGCAGATTGTGCCACATTAGTAGGTTGCTCCTCTGTGATCCCCTCTGGCTCCATGATTCTTTTTTTATTCTTCCCTTTTTTTGATGTATAAATTCTTCTCCCCGAGTTTGTTTTACAGAATTACGCACATCTGCTCTGCCTCTGCTACCCCGGTGAACTAAATAACTTTCCGCTCCTTTACCTCTTCTCTGTCCCTTGCGCTGTCCTTTCCTCGGACGCCTTCTTCCACTTCCGTGACTCGGACTCGTTTTATCACCATTCCCTCTTGTTGCTTCATAGCCTCACATCCCGTCAGGTGACGCGCGGGTTCCGGACTCCAAGACTCACAAGTCGAGGGTTTCATCCGGAGCGCAGCGGCTCTATCGGCAGGTCCGTTTTTGCTGCTGCGACCCGCCGGCACCCGGTCGCACCCAGCTGTCTCCAGCCACCTGTAACACGCTGAGCTAAGTCATCATTTCACATCATCCGGGTTCGGTTTTTGTCGGCTGATGGAAGGAATACACACAGCTGCTTGTTGACTCCCTTAGGTATCCCCCCCACGCCTCCTCCCATCTTGGTCCATGGCTGTGACGCACCGTCCTGCTGCTCTCCAGCAGATCTTTTATGCTAATTAAACACAAAATCCCGAGTGCGCACTGCTGTCCAGTCAGTCGCATCAAAGCAGAGCTGCAGATGCTTTTTCAGGAGCGTTTGGTTTTCTTATTTTTTTAAACATCTTGTACAGCAGCAAACAGCATAGACTTTTGAGGCAACTTACAATGATATCTAAGAAGCTTGTAGTTAAGAATATAACAACAAAACGAGAACGAAATGTATACAAATTAATTACGAAGCGCATCATTTCAGCACCACACGCGAGTGGACAGCTCCAAAGTCATTTTTTCTTCTCCCGTTCAGTTTGTGCAGAACTCACTGAGGGCATCAGTCTGTCATAACTCTATTCACCACCACCCGACACCCCCCCAAAAAAACAACAAAAATAACTAAACTTTTGGATTTTTATTTTGTTAGTGAATTTCGTCCAATCAAATATCCTCCCCACATCTGAAAATGTAATTATTTGAATCTTACACATTCTTCCTGGCCGCCTTTTAACGTCTGCGACTCTCGCAGAGGTCCTAACAGAACGTTTTCTTAGGTGTTGACTAGAGATGGGGTTCATTTTAAAAGTAACCGAATCAAAAGCCACAGCAGAATTTTAGGAGTTGAATTAGATGCGATACCAAAGTTGAAATATCTTAATCTTCCTTAGGATATTTTGTTTTCAACAAACCAGAAATCCACAGTTTTGATAAGAACACGCTTTTGTTATCTCCTGAAAAGTAGTAGCGTGGTTTTTTCATGTTTTTTTTTAAAAAAATTATAGCAATATGCAAAACTTGAAATCGTTTAGGGAAGAGAGCAGGGCTGAGTCAAAGAGGTTCAACATGACATAACATAAAGGTAAAAGAATATAATAAACAAATAAAATAACAACTCCAACTCAGAATATATTTTCTTCTCTGCATGAGTAATGTATGATGCACAAAACACTGTTTTCCATCCATCCATCCATCCATCCATCCATCCATCCATCCATCCATCCATCCATCCATCCATCCATCCATCCATCCATCCATCCATCCATCCATCCATCCATCCATCCATCCATGTATATTCTCACAGACGCTCACAGACGACTTTAAATGCTTTTCAACACTGCCATCTACTGACACAAACAGGCCTGTGCAGCTGCTGCTGAATCCTTTTTGTATGATTCTCTTCAGAGTTTTGGTTCGAGCACATATTGACGGATTTTGCAAACTTTTACGGCCTCCGTTTTTAGGGTTGACTTTTTGGATAGGAAATGACTTTATTTGCTTAATTAAAATTCTTTAAATCCAGTGCCGGAGTCACTTATTAGTAAATTTAGCCTCACTATGAATCCAGTTCTTCTTCGGAGGCTTCAGAGGTTGGTTAGAGGACACTGAGGAGAAAAACAGCATCTTGAAGACAATGGAGTTCAGTAGGCAGATAAAAGTTGCAGCGTTTAAAACACCACTGAATCCTAAAATACTATCCTTAGCTTTGAATTTCTCTGCAGCCCTGTTCAATCCATGTAAACTTACTGGTCACACAA